ATATTTGGTTAAATGGTCAAGCATCAAAAAGAAATATAACTCGTTATGTTATTCCATCATGTTGTCCACATATTAGTGTTACTCGTACTCATGTACTTGAAGAATATTTCGGAAAAAATAATATAAGCCGATTTTCAGCTAATAATCATGCATTACAATGGTTCAGTGATAATTGGGAAAAAAATTTATGGTATAAATTTAATGGAGAAAATGCACCGAAATATCGAAATTGGCGGACGATGATCTATCGAGAATGGATTAGTATGATTTTAAATTTTAAATTTATCATTTATTTTGGTTTTATATGAAAAAAAAAAGAACTGTTAGGATAATATTCTAATTATTTAAACTGAAAAATCTCCTTAATTGAAACAAGAAGATAATAGTTTTTAAAATCGTATTTGATTTGGAGTAGAATTAATTTGAAATTGTGATGCTATTGGATCATATGATGATGTTATATAAGCATGAAGACTTGGTCTTGAATTTGGTATACAAATAGCATAATTATGATTATGAACAGGACGAAACCATAAGAAAGGTGTAGTGACATAACGTGCAGATGATTGTTCATTGTTATCTATTTTTGATATTTTTTCTGGATAGAAATAATATTGATCAATAGGATTAGATGTATTTTCTATAGTATTTTTTGAATATGGAATCCATGTTGGATTATCATTGAATCGAACATTTTTTATTGGTTGTAAATGTTCATATTGATGTTGCTGATTTTGAATAGAATGTTGAGACCAATTTGATGTTGAATCATAATCATGTAAAAAATCAATTGATACAGCTAGTTCATCAAGTCTATGAACATGATAACGTGGATATATTGAATGATTGTTTGAAATTATTTGTTGATCATTAATTAAATTATTATAATATTTTGTTGTTTGTTTAGCTATTGGATAGAAAACTAAGTATTCAAAAAAAAAAAAACAACATAAAATTCAACGATTAAACTAATGAGTATTGCAAAAGTTCTCGAATTAATATCAAACTGAATTTCATTCCAATAGAAGATAATAGAATACTCATTCTTTTTTTTTTCTTGTTCGATAGAGCGTTATATGGAATTTAAAATCATAATAATTCTCAAATTACTATTTATGTCCTAGTAACAAAATTGGTTTGACTTCTCTTTAATTGAGCTTTTACTCTCCCCGAAAAAAGAGACAAAAGACGTAATAACTTTCTAGGTTAACATTTCTAGATTATATAAACAATTTTATCAGTTCTTGCTATGCATAACAGTCATAGTAGAGCTTGACTATTATTATTTATTTCTGATAGAAAACTGATTTTATTACTTACTGCATGTATTTTTCAAAACATGATTGACTACAATAGAAAGAACTATTTCGGGACCACAAGAATATACTGTGCACCTCAAAAGTTTTTCCCCCCTTTGTATTTTTTAGTTTTCATCACTAAATCTTTTTAATTTATTAACTTCCTATATATAGAAAGAAAGCCCAGAACGCGCTGCATCTTATAGTGTGTTTATATGGAACAACAAATGCAGTTTAAAGTATAAAAAGTGTGTTAGAAAAAGACGTGACATTTTTTTTAACTGTACAAATTGATCAAAATTCTAAAATATATGAAGAGTAACTAATTTTTAGGATAACTTTTGATTGAAACGAGATAGAGATTTGCAGTTTTCACTGTTAGAAAGCGGAGATAAAGATGCATTGAATTCTATACTTCGCATGTTTCTGACAAGTTTTGTTAGGATCTTTAGCGAATATTTCTTCAAAAATCGGCTTTTTCCTATTTTTTGAGAAAGACTTCACTTTATCCTCTGTAGAAGTCTCGATTTTTGAAGAAGCGTTCGCTAAAGATCCCAACTAAGCTTGTCAGAAACATGCGAAGTATAGAATTCAATGCATCGTTATCTCCCATTTCTAACGGTGAAAACTGCAGATCTCTATTCTCGTTTCCATCAAAAGTTATCCTAAAAACTAGTTACTCTTCATATATTTTAGAATTTTGATCAATTTGTACAGTAAAAAAAAATATCACGTCTTTTTCTAATACACTTTTTATACTTTAAACTGTCTTTGTTGTTCCACATAAAAACACTATAAGATGCAGCGCGTTCTGGGCTTTCTTTCTATATATAGGAAGTTAATAAATTAAAAAGGTTTAGTGATAAAAACTAAAAAATACAAGGGGGGTAGGGAACTTTCGAGGTGCACAGTTTATTAAAAAACAAAACTTGATTCAAATATTTGCTTGAAATCATTTTGATAGTTGAAATTTTCTATTACAATGTATGGCTTTATTGAGATATATAATTTGTTTACCGCTTAAAACTTTTGCTGATCTACTTTGAAAATATCAAGAATATTTTATTATTAATATATAAGTATCAATCGACGAAACATTTCCTTTTAGACTAGAGATAACGTTCTATCTAATAAAAAAAAAAGATGAGCTTCACAACAATTCAATGTTTTATCTAGATTTTATGTTCGAGAAGGGCGAACATTTATTTTTGGGAGCACAGACACAGTAAATTGTACAATAACCAAACTCCTAGAGGCAGTGTTTTATTCAGCGTGGAGGCGACGTCTCTCCAACGATCAAGTTGGCCCTCCAGAAGAGAAAATCTGAATAAAACATTGCAACACTCGTTATATTCACTTACTATCATAATCCGTGACTGTATCAATAATGACATCATAGTACATTGGAATAATATTTGTATTTGTTGGACAACTAAGTTGAGTATTTGTATGAGGTTGAGATAGAACATCATCGAATATAGTTTCTTTATCAATTATAGTTTGAGATGGTATCATCATCATATGATTTTGTTCATTTCTCATTGTCATTGGTACATATGAAATAACATTTGATGGTGCATTTAAAAATGAACGTGCAATATCTCGATCAAGTTTATATATAGATGAATACATATGAAAACGAACAATTATTATCAATGATGAAACTTTTCTATATAGCATGACTTATATATAGATCAATAGATGATTTATCGAAATGTTAATGTTCTGTTCCCTGTTTTTAGATAATCATATTGTTTTTTATTTAAACGAAAAAAAAAAAAGAAAATCATGTAAATCGACTATTAGATGGTAAAGATAAAAATAGTTCATGACTTGTATCGATTAAAATAGAACCATCAGCATTCAATGAATCAATATCTTCAATTATATTAGTTCCACTATCATAGGTAAAGGGCATTGGTGGATATGGAAAATTAGGTGGTTTTTTTGGTAATGCAGGTGGAGGTGGAGATGATGATGATCTTTTGTTTTTTCGAACAGAATGATCAAGTGAATTATACTTTGTATCATCATCTGTTGATAATGTTCTTTTACGTGGAATATATTGTGAACTTTGTGTGATATCCTATGAAAATAAAAGAGTTGAAAAGATGATTTTTTTTTTCTTTGCTTATTATGGAAATACTTACAAAACTAACAGTTCGTTGTTTTCTATAACTATTTCGATTATTAAATATTGATGAACCTGAACGATAACCTTCATCGGTTGTATTTGGTGTTGTTTGATCATCTTTTTTAGATGAACTATGATCAACACTAGATGATCGTTTTAAACGTTTAAATTGTTCTGTAATATCTCCTTGAGTTTTTGAATTTCGTAAACGAATACGACGTTTTGAAATATTATGATGAGATGATATAAGAATACGATAAATTTGCATATCAAATGATTGTACAAATATATGACATTTTGATAGAATCTTTCGAATTTCTGATGATAATGATGATAATGGTGAAACAACAAATTTAAGTGGAGTATTTTTTGGAATAACAGCAATATTTGATGATGTTAATGATGCACATACAGCTAATTCTTCAGTACGTGAACCTAATAATCGTAAATTACCACTAAAATCTTTATATGCATATGAACCTTTATAAGAAAAAAAAAACTATCAGTAATAAAATTCTATTTAAAATAAAAATCTCACCAGGTAATTGAGCTAATTTAATATTCATAGGAATTGGAAATTGTTCAATAAGATTATAAATTGTTTGTAATTTATTTACATTACTTGAACCATATTGACCAACAGGTATTAAATTAACTTCATCTGTTGATGAACATGGAACATAACATTTTTGTCGTTGTAATAAAATACATTTTAATGCATATTCATTTCGATTTAATAATCGTTTAAAACAAAACCACCAAGAAGATGAATAATCATTAGCTGTTAAATTATCATTTACTGTTGGAGTATATTGAACATTGACAAGTTTATCAAATAAGATTATTTGATGAGCTTCAACTTGATGCCATACACGATTGGAAACACCTTTATCATTAGTTTCAATTGTATAAACACGCATAGGTGATGCTATATAAAATGCTTGAGATCGATGATTAAGTTGCATTCGTTCGACAATTGGTTGAATACGTTTTTCAGGAATAATACCAGTATGTTGTTCTAAATTAAAATAATCATTAAATAATTGAAAGATATATTGAACTCATAATAATCTTACTAATGCTTTGTGATGGTAAACACTCGAAATATCCTAATTTTAAATAGTGAAGAAATTTAAGAAACATATAGATAACTCACCAGGATATTTCCATGGTATAGCAACTAATTCTGAATCGATTGGTATATATGTTACATATCCGTTTGTTGTTGATTGACTAATTCTCAAAGCACGTCCAAATGCAAATGTAACACGTGATATTGAATGTAGAATAATTGGACGACTCGAACCACGAAAACCAGGTGCCGATCGAATAACTACTGGTAAAGAATATTGAGCTGCAATGGATTGTATTGATAATGGTTGTGATGTCCACTCAAAGGACATGGTTTTTTTTTTGTTTTCAAAAACAAATACGTCGAAAAAAAATAACTAAAATATACCTATCATATGACCTTTTATGTTCATGGGTTTTTTTTCCCTCATAAAAAACAAAGAAAAAACAACAATCAAAATGAAAAGTATGTATATAATGATGGGTGTTTAAAACTAGATATTACATTTGCTAATGTGAAGAAAGTAAAAAATGTAATATGATGTGGCAAAGAGTGAAAATATTTTTGACTATTATTATTTGTGTTCCAGTATCATTATGTTACGAAAATAAAAAAAAATCAATTTTTATCTTAGCATTGCCTATGTTATTGTCTATACACCTGAACATATACGAACGTATCTTTTTTTTTTTTTGCTTGCTTCATTATACATGCTTGATCAATTAAAGTCGAAGGACAGGGAAAATATTTGATGTTTCAACAAAAAAAAAAAAAAAGACAACATATTGATCACGCTTGATGTACGTCAATGAAAAAATTATATTTATAAAGAACTATTTTGTTATCAATATTTGATGTGTTTTAAATTTTTTTGTTTCATTTTATATGAATTAAAGAGACTCACGCTGAAAAATGAGATGATTGAAATTGTTAATTAGTTCATTTGTCGTAATAATAAATAGAAATTATTTATTCAATTAATCACGTCAATATAGATTATCCTTGACGCACTTATTATTTGATGTATTTCTTTTTTTTTTTTTTCAATACATAAATCGACATTGATAAAAATAACAATGAAAGGTAATCGTAAATACCTTCAAAACTAGTTTAATATATTGAGTAGTAATCAACAACAAACATTATTCGAAGAGAATAACGACAAATGTAACATCTATGACAAAAAATATAACAAATTCTACCTTCTTTTAATTTGTTTTATAGTCATCATTTTTCATATCGACATTTTCTTTTTTCTTGTTCGATTGAGAGAAAAAAAAATATGTATGACAATTTTTTAGAAGGACTTGGCCTAGAAAAAGAGATTTATTTATAATTAAAATAATTTCAATGGATAAAATAATTTATTTCACATTCATTGTAATGATTGTCAAAAAATTCACAAAAGATATTTCAAGTTCGCAACAAACTATTATCAATATATTATTTATCTAAATGATTTATTTCATAGACATGATCAATTAATAAATAACAATAATATATACAATAATAAGAACCATTAATATAATTGTATCAGTTTTCTTATTGATTATATTGGTTTTTTTTTTGTTGAACAAGCATTCATTTTGATGACTACTTTGTCGCCATCAAAAGAATCAGTAAATTGAACTATTTGTCAATTATATGACAATAGAATTAGTTGGCGTAAAAGAAAAACTATTCAACAAAATTGATTAAAATTAGTATTCTATAATTCAACTATTTGGCCAGCGTCATCGACAATGTACTATATTTACACAATTGAATTATATGAAAGTCTTACTACTCAAATGGGAGTTTCAGAATCACATATTTAAGTATTTAATTTATTAAAAGTATTAATTTTTTTTTTAAATATTATTCATTCATAGGTGTCGTTCAATTTCGAGAAAAATGTACTGAAAATAGATACACTAAAAATTCGATATCTTAATAAAAGAAAATATTTTGATTCATGGATAATAAAAGAATGTAGTATAACCTATAGCTTAGTTTATTACTCACGTTCTTGTCTCATAATAGTTTAAATATTGTCTACTTCATACAAATTTGTATTGATTGTTTTGTTCTTATATCTTATGCCATGAAAATGTATCAGTACGAATTGTATAAATACATAGAATTAAGATAAATTGCGTATCGGGAAACAATAATAAATACAGCTATAGTTTTGACATGCTTGCTTTTATCTCTTGTAGAGAAATAAGACAAATATTAAATTGAACGGTATATAGAAGAAATCGACTTAAATGATAAGACAAAGGTCATTCTAATCATTAGTCTATATAAAGATTCATTACCTAAAAACTACAGCTTCAGAATTAAGAAAGGTATTCAATGTATTTCATATGACAGAGTTAAAATCTATGATTTTTCGGATATTTATCATCTATTTTACGTCTATTCACATCTTTTAAAAAAGATAACAATATTATAAAAATATTACGTAAGTTTTTCTAGAACATTATTAATGTTTTCATCGATTTGTATCACATCTGGATGATTAGATGGTAACATATCATGATAGATACTGGCTGCTTTTTTATAATATGTTGATGCTTGTTGAAAATCAGTTTGTATTTCATATACGAGACCAATATTTTTGTAAACCTTAGCAATTGAAATGTGTTTTGGAGGAAGCATTTTAAGTTTAATTGAAAGTGATAGTTGATAATGTTTCATTGCAAGATCATATTGACCAAAGTAACAATAAATAATACCAATATTATTATGAGATTTAGCTGCATTAAAACGATTAGATGATGGATTTAGATCATCTATTATTAATACTTTTTCATAGAACTCTAATGCTTGACGATATTTATTCTCTCTTTTATAAATAGAAGCCATATTATCAAAGAAATTTGCCATATGTGGATGATTTTCAGCATTTGCTTTTTGATATTGTTCAATAGCTTTCTCATAACATTCCAATGATTCATGATTATTTTCCTTATATGAATAAGTTTTGCCCATAGAACCATATAAATTTCCAAGATTCAGAGAATCTGATGTATGTGATTGTAAAAATACTTCTAATGATTTTTGATACCATTCCAAACTGGCATCATAGTTCCTTTTTTCTTTGTTTATATTACCAAGTGAGTGGTATAAACGAGCAAGTGATGAATCATTTGGTGAAACTTCGTTAAGCAAACGATGATATATCGTTTCAGCTAGCTCGAATTTACCTATTCGTTGTAATACATCACCAAAACCTCGAAGATCAATTTCATTATCTTCATCATTATCTCCATGTATTTTTGTTTTATATTCGAAAATACGTTTCAAACTAGGTTCATTATGATCACAAAGTTCCATTTGAATTTTCCATATCTTTCCATCGTTTTCAATTTGAATTAAACGAAATATACATCCAGTCATAAATAATATTTCTGTATCGTCAATGAAACTATTGAATCTACTAATGTCAGCAAATGGTTTATTTCTTGCAATATTCGGGTCAGCATCAATGATAAATAAGGTTTGATGATCACAATTATAAATTTTTGAATTTTTCAAGAAATCTAATACTTTATCCTGATTTATATTTGTTCGAAGAAATGTATTGATTGAAATATATCCATTTTTCGATCGTCGAAGATATTCTATTCCACTGAATGTCATAATTTGGCCACAATAAACACGAATCGAAGATATATATTGATTTTCTTTTAATTGTTTATGTATATCACGAATGACAAAATGAAATAAAAGTAATTGATCAATATCTTTTTTCTCTAAAGCTTTATTTAACATTCTATATAAAAATGATTCACGTAGATACCATAATAAAGCTTTATCTGATGTATATTCATGTTTAAATTCACGGATCATGGTTAATTGCCATTTATTATTCTTATGTTCTGTCTTACAGAGATTGATAAGTTGTCGTTGTTCCTCTGAATTGAATTCTAATCGAAGAAGAGAATTGATTAGTATATATGAATAAATAAAATCTTCATTGTGTGAAATTGTAGATTGAGGTTGCTCATCTGTAGTAATATAAATATTAAATGAAATTCGTTCTTCATTTTTTACTCGACATCTTTTATCTGATTTGATTCGAGTAATTAAATTGTCTTGATGAATAATTACATCTTTGACCTAAATTGAAGAAAAGAATTCCAAAAAAAAAAAAAAAGTTAAAAAGTCATGTCATACTTTCTTAAACTGTTTTGCCCATTCTTCATTCAATTTTTTTTCCATACAATAAATGTAAATGGATGAAAGTTGTTGAAGTTGATGGATTTTTGGAATTATTTCTCGACCTAATCTACCACTAACAATAAGAATAAGTCGCTTTTTTTCATTAAGTGACTCAATATATTTTTTACATTCATAAGCATCATCAAATGTTTTAAAATGTTTAACAATTGAATGAAGCATTATTTGTGTTTTTTTATTATCATCTGTAGCATTGACATCTCCATCTAACCAACAAAGTAAAAATGTTTCAAAATATTCATCTGTAGTCGGATGAATTTTAGAATGTAGAAAAGCCATGAATGACTATATTGCAATATGAAAATCAACAATTAAAAAAATCTTTGTCATTTCTATGCATGATTTTCGTCATAAGTTTTTTCGTTTGAAATAAAGAACTGTACAAAACATTTGTTTTTTTTTTTTGCATTTTTTTTTGTTAAGTAGATGAGTGACGTTAGTTGGTTGCTTATGATGATAGTAAGCAATAAGAACGAGAAAAGCATACTTCCCTTTTACAGTCTCTCGTTCTGAATGTATTCGAAACAAACCGATTATTTTTCTTAAAAAAAAAAAAACATTTTCTTTCAACTGATTGATGCAAATATGTTATGCTGATTCTTTTTTTTTAGTTATAATCAAAAAAAAATACGTAATACAGGTCGATTCAAGAATAGCCATATAACTGCGTCATTTTTAACTATTGAATTATTTAAAGTATTGATTAATCATGTCGATGCAATATTTTTGAAGATATAATTTTTCAATAAATAGATCTATTCAAGTAAATGTTCTAGATAGTATCAGTGTATAATTTAACATACAATATTTTACCTATTTTGAATATGAAAAGTATTTATAGTGCGAATCATTTATGTAAAAAGTATTTCACTGGGTGAAATCTTTTTCTCAAAGAGTGATTCACATCATAATATCTTCAAATTATAATTATCATTTATTCGAAGACATGTTTGGCGTCGTTTGTATACATATCCAAACAAAATATTTCTTTGTCGCACTTCTGTTTTAGTTACTATGGTGAGTAGTCGACCATTATCTAACATAGGAGAGTATGGATATGGGTGAGGATTCTACCGGCACATACCCATCTCCACCCATTTTTATTTCCGTTCTTTTTATTTTCGATATTTTTACTTCCGACCGAAGTAGGGGGAAGCCCTGAAAAAGATTTCAAAGAAAAAATAAATAATTATCAATCATATGTTGAAGATTTCTTGTTTAATTTCTATTCAAAGTTGGTTTATTAGAAAGATTCCATGTACTTAGTAATTGTATTTTCATCAAAATAATTCTTCTCAACAAACAAATAATTTTAAATTCATTTTGATTTTTCAATAACAACAAAAAGAAACTTGAGGAAGATCTTCATAGTATATTTCATACTGTGATTTCTCCCTTTTGATGGACGACACTATTCACAAAAAAAAAACAATATTTCTTCATCTCGCAGATTGTTATAATTTATATTTTACAATACTTCCTAAATGAATAAAATATTACCGGAAAAAATAAGATACCTTCACGATGGAAAGCAGCAATATATTTAATAGTAAAATTAGATCATAGTGGAAAATCTAATTCATCCTTCTATATATCAACAACGTTATTCTATGTTAGACATCTGAAAATAATCTTTATTTTGGTCATCTGAAAAATTTTCAATTGTAGAACTAAGAAAGGCGTTCAATGCACGTCATATGAGAAGGTCAAAATCTATGGTTTTTCGGGCATTTGTCATCTTATATTAATACTTTTTCATAGGATTCTAATACCTGAGAATATTTGTTGTCGCTTTTATAAATAGAAGCCACATTGTCTAAGAAATTAGTTATATGTGAATGATCGTCAACATTTGCTTTTTGATATTATTTTATAGCTTTCTCATAACAGTCCAATGATTGATGAATATTTTTCTTGTATGAATAACCTTCACCCATAGAACCATATAAATTTTCAAGATTAATAAAAGCTGATGTATGTGTTTGTAAGAATACTTCTAATGAATTTTGATACCATTTCAATCTAGAATCATAGTTCTTTTTTTCTTTGTTTGTATTACCAAGTGAGTGGTATAAACGAGCAAGTGATGAATCACTTGATGAAACTTTATCAAGTAAACGATGATATATCGTTTCAGCTAGCTCGAATTTACCCATTCGTTGTAATACATCACCAAAAGCTCGAAGATCAATTTCATTATCTTTATCTCCATGTATTTTTTTTTTCTATACTCGAAAAATACATTTTAGATCATGTTGATTATCATAACAAAGATTTATTCGAGTTGGTAATGAAATATCTCCAGCATATTTTGATGACATCAGCGAATGTTTTTCCTCCTGAGGATAGAAGAAAGTTGTAAGTTATTATTTATAAGTTAACATTTTATTAACATACTTGAAATCGAATTCTATCTACTTTTATCTTTATAGAAAGTATAGAAATTTTTTCTTTTTAGTAAATAATAATCATTTTAAGCGAGATCACTCAACTTTTTGATCATGAATAAAAACTTGAAATTCATCTCTATCATTAGGAAAATGTTTAATACATTGGATCAATATATGATAAAGACATTATATTCATTTTATTTTATTAATAGATTATTTCTTGGACATCCGATATATTGAATCACAAATAATAATTCTGTTTCGTCAACGAAGTTATTGAATCTATTAACATCATCAAATGATTTGTTATTATGACACGAGGATCGGTATCAAGAATAAATAAGCCTTGATGTTCGTAATCAGAAAGAGTGTTCTTTTATTGACTGACATTGTTGACTCTTGTCGTCTGTTCAATAATGGTGAGAACGAAGAGAAAAAAAGCGACTACCATACATAATACTGTGTTGCAGTGACGGTTAGCTTAATTATTATTCAATTTTGTCTCTATGCTTTTCTGGAAGATAAGAATTTTGTATCGAACATAGATATGATGACTGAATCAAATCTAGACTGGTTACTCGTAGGATTTACAAATGTACTATTTTCAATCAGAGAGGTTATTGGCATTGAAAGGAGATTTTAGAAAAATGGTGTTCTTTTTTTTTTTAGCACGATAAATAATGATGGGACTACTGCAATATATAACAGGTAGTTAATAAATTTTCAAACATTAAAGTTTGTAAAGACCTTGAGAGATTACATAGGATTATATGATTTATGAAGTTAATCATTATACATTGATAAGACACACCAATAAAAGAATTTTCGTGTTGTGATCTATGAGTATATTAATCAATAACTTGTTTCAAGTGGTAAATATTGATGTGATTGTTATCTAGTGTCAACTGATCTAATTTATATTTTCAATAGTTACAAATCCAATATTTATACATTAATTTACAGACTTTGGTTATTATTTCCAACTATGATTATTGGACTCATAAACAACTAATAGAGTCATCTATCGAAAGGCAAAAGCGATACAAAAATTGCTACTGTAATTGAGTCAGTTGATATACAATCATATGAAAAAATCGTTTGGATATATCCAAATCGAACCTTCTTGTATTGTTATTTATATACTTTATATTAATCATGAGTAGGTGTAATTCAATCGATATACGCATTTAGTCTATCATAATCAAGTTATTGCATATATAAATAATATTAGTTCTTAAATCTTATTGATATCAACAATGATATAAAGTATTCTATATATATATATATATATATATAATTCTACACAAGTTCAAACTTTTTATTATTATTGTTGGTCTAATGAAAAATTATTTTACATTTTAAAATGAATTTAATCAAGCTGATAAAAATTATTTATATTAATGATATCAAAACTTAATAAGAAATTATGAATGTTTTATTAAGGTAAAAGGATTGAATTTTTGAATTAATAATAAACCAATGTATTACAGCTTCCATTCAAGACTTCTTCCTGATTCCCTCCCAAAAAAGTCGATTGGGGTCACAAAAATAATTCTTGAGATTACTATATTAGCGTGTCGTTTGAGACGCGTCTACTGTACAAATATATAAATAGATTATTGAATTTCGAAGATTTTTAAGGCATTGCTTTTTTGAAGATTCTACAGTTGACTAAAGCAATTATTATTATTTTTTTGACATTGTACAATCATTAGAATACATATCACGCCAGTAATGATAACTGGCGTCATCTATTATTAGTTAGGCAGCAATAAGCATAGTTCGATCGGTACTTTGTGATGAGCATTTATCATTGGTATATAATGTTTGTGGGTTTAGCTCAATCTAAAACGTATTCATGAAAGAATCACTTTTGTGTTTTTCTGCTAATCCGAGACTCAAATCGATCAAGCGAGTTTTCACCCAGATTCATGCTTCGGGTCGGACTAGGTACCCGATCCGATTGCAGAACACTAGATTTGTCATACCATTTCGTTTGTGGATAGTACTATTTGACAGGGTCAACTTTCAACAAGGTTTCATTACACATCCTCTATAAGATACTAAGAGCAAAACAATTAATAAGACACACCGGTGACAACTAGTCTACGAGTAACCCGGTTTCATCTCTGTCAGAGAAATCTTATACATTGTATCAAACATCGATTTTGGAAGTGGAAAAGACCTTAGTAGAAAAATTATTTATTTGGAATATTTTATGGACCAATATTATAACATTGATATGAATGAAACATAATTTATATCTCAAATCTTAAAATAACTTCTATTTCTGATCAATAAAAGTAGACAAAGAAATTTTATTGTTTCTAAATATTGTATCGGAATAAACACACACATACATATATGAAATCAAACAATAAAAATCAAGAGAAATAATGTTTTATTATATACAAATTAGTCTGTCTGTTGGTTTGGAATGTCGTCTAACTCGACGATAACCGACTGACTGACTAGAACAATCAATAAATATTTATTTAACTTTTTTTTATTTTTAATACGAATACTAGGATGATTGATTTTTTGGTATTGATAAATATTGTTCATCGGTTATAACAACACCTTTTGCTACACATGATCGATCACGTCCATCAATTAAACATGGCCATACATATTCAATAATTGCATCACTTTCATTATCCGATGTATGAAAACGTTCATGAATTTGTTTATCATATTTTATTGTTTGAAATTCTATATAATATGGAGGTGATTGATTAACAAGACCCCATCTATAAATAAATAAACAAAAAGAAAAGAAAAAAGTCTTAGACCAAACGATATTTTCGAGTTTTATTCATACGCAGTTCGACATGCTGAATAAATATATTTGAGTAATTCATTACAAGATTTTAATTTTGGATAATCATATAAAGTAGTCCATAACTGATTTTCGACTTCCTGAAAAAGTAAAATAATAGAAAACTTAAAGAAAAAAACAACAAAAAGAATTTATTTACAGAAGTAATTTTTCCGACATCATATTTTTGTATAGTAGTTCTTAAATATTTTTCAATTGTTTCTTCAAGTACAATTGAACTTTTATCATTACTTAATTGTAAAATTTGTTTAATTTTATTGCGTATATCTTTTGCTTGAGTTTGTGCATGACGAAAAGCAAGCTTTAAAAAAAAGAAAAAAAATTTCTTGTTTTTTTTTTTTTATTCAATTTGTTAATATAATTTTATACATACGACAACGACGGAAAATAATAATTTTGATTTAAGATCATCTGCTTCAGACATTTCACGTATATTATCTAATGCATCAAGAGCATCAATACGAGCTTGAGAATAAAGTGAACTATATGAACGAATTAGTTCAGTTGGACGAGATATTTGATTTAGATCTTCAAATTTACCACCTTTTTCTAATTGTCGTTGAGCTTGTTCGGCTAATCTAGATTAAAGAGAAAAAAACATATGGAAATTAAAATTCTTCAGATAAGAACATTAATTGATTTGTAATAGTAATTAGATAAAACAAGGAAAACTTAGCGTTTGGTACACATAATGTTTGTTATAACGTCAGTATATCTTAGACTTGTTATGTGTAAAGTCTGACGGTTACAAAATTTTTGAACTCTAATTGTACTTTTAATTTAAACAATATGTTTTTGTCTGAATCTTCAAGTCGTTTCGGAGATGTGGAATATTTTTTTCTCGATTATTACTATTCTGCTACTAATGCATGCTACACATTTTCTCAGACAACCTTGACCATGACCTTATAAGAATCAAGTTATAATTAATTGTTACTTTTAGAGTAGAATCTGGAACCAAACCTTCTAGCTATTGTTCTATGTCTCTTTTGAGAAGCTTGATTAGTGTTATAAGTTAAATATATTTCAACATTTCGAGCTTATGTTTCTGCTTATCATCAAAGCTTTCAATAGCATTATCACACAAGGGATAAAAACTTTCTTTTTTTTTTCCTTGACCTTATTCTCTGGTGATTGTAGAAATGGATAAAATGTTTTCTTGAGAAATAATACAAGACTGATGAATTAGAGTACCTCCTATATGTCATTGATTACGAGTGATAATTATTCAATTGTCCTTGTACTTCTCATCAACATTTGTACTTAAATATATATTTCGTTATTGTTATAGATGCTTATTGCAAAGGCCGAAATTATTAACCTTGATGAAATTTAGGAAATATTCTTTTTTTTTTATCTATTTTAGATGTCTTTTAATAATCATAAATTAATTCTATCAATACTATGTATATTTTCAACAATAGAATTAATCATAAGTTTATTTATTTATGCATATTTTCCATGTGAATCTTATGCATATGCTTTATGTTTTATTGAATCATCAGGTCTAATTGGTTTTATTAGTACATTATTTTATTTTATACTCATAGAATTAAAAGAAAAACATGCTACTATTTATTTGATATTGTCGAATATTTATTTTGTATGTATGATATGTGTTAGTATATATTGGTTAATTGGTCTATCAGTTGAATCTCGTCGTTTTTTTGATTATTCAAATATTAACCAATGTCAAACAATTGTTTATTATTTAATATTTATAACATTAATTGGAAATTATCTTATTTTACTTATACTTATTATATATGCTGTATATTTTCGTTATTTAGATATGAATAATAAACAAGAATTCTATGCTCATACAACACTTATTCGTTAAATATATAGAATTAATTTTACCTTTCACGCATTTGTTCTTCGCTTTTTTGTAAACGTACAATTGTTTCTTTCGATTTTTGTAATTCATTTTTTAATTGTATTAAATCATTTTTTAATCGTTCTTTTTCATCATAATCATAATTTGTTATTTGTTGTTGAATATTTTCTATTCGATTTGAATCTGTAATATTTGATGTTATTGGTGTAAGTGATTGCAATGATGTTGATGGAGGTAAATTAACTACTTGCTGTT